AACACCTCCCTACCAGCCTTCCATCCTTCCGAGGTGGGTAAAATGAGGACCCAGATTGTTGGGGGCAATATGATGACTCTCTGTAAACCGCTTAGAGAGGGCTGAAAGCCCTATGAAGCGGTATATAAGTCTAACTGCTATTGCTATTGCTATCACAGTCCTCCATTTCTAATTTATGCTCATCTGGCTGTTGATTGCTGGTAGGGAGGTGTTTTGGGCCTTTTGTTTATTACCATGGCTTGCCCTGTCGATATTGGTGGGAGTGTCTTGGAGGTCCTTTGGTTGAGCTGTTCACTGTTAGTTTGCTTGGTAGTTCCTTGCCTGGGGTATATTGCTTACTTCTTGATTGTTGGTCTGATGGTAATCTTGGGGTTAATCTATGCTCATCTGGGTGTTGATTGCTGCCTGGGAGATGTTTTGGTCTTGTTTGTTCCCTTTTTGGATTGTTAATTGTCCCTTTTGCACAGCATGTAGATGTTATTTATGTCTATGTGTCTATTGATTGCTGATTTGTCAGAATGCCCAGGTTTCCAGGAATTCTCTAGCATTTTTGAACTTCGTTGTAGGATGGTCATGGTTTCCCAGTTGAACTCTGTCTATACTAGGGGTGTCAAACTCACATAGTCACAGTGTCATCATATGACATATCATTTTCCCCAGAGGTGGGTTGCCAATTTCTTTATTACTGGTTCAGGCATGTTCTCACGTGCACTCATGCATGCTCATGATACTTCTGCACAGAAGCATTGAGGTGGGCAGGCGGAGCCTCCCGCCACTGCTACTACCAGTTCAGCCGATCCGGGCTGAACCGGCACCAACCTACCTCTGATTTTCCCCTTCGCTAAACCAGGCATGAGCATGACCAGTACGTTAAGCACCCGGCCTGTGGGCCACGAGTTTGACAGCCCTGGTCTATATGTTGTGAAACTAAAGATTTTTCATCCTGTCTTCTGACTGACTGATGTTCATGGATTTGCTTGGCTAGTCTTTTGCCTGTTTGTTCTACATAGTGGCTCTTGCAGTCCTTACATATTATATTGTAATTGACTCCTGTTTTTTTCCTCTGGGCTGCTGGGTCTTTTGGTTTACTTAGGATGTTTTGGAGGGCTTTAGTTGGTTTGTGTACTACATCAATGCCACGTGGTTGTAAAAATCTATTGGTGGTTTCTGAGATGTTTTTGATGTATGGCAGTGTTATTCTTTTTGTGACATGTTGGTTGTGCTATATTGGGTTGACTGCTCAGTCCCATTTTGATGAAGTTGCAGATTATTACAGAGATATAGACATAAACATCTACATACTGTGCAAAAGGGACAATTAACAGGCCAAAAATGGAACAAAAAGACCAAAACACTTCTCCTGCAGCAACCAACACCCAGATGAGCATAGATTAACCACAAGATTAACATCAGACCAACAATCAAGAAGTAAACAATACCCCAGGCAAGGAACTACCAAGCAAGCTAACAGTGAACAGCCCAATCAAAGAATCACCAAGACCACTCTCACCAACTTGATAGGGCCATCCACTAGAATTGAGGGCAAACCCCGCTCCCTACTAGCATTGGTGATGTTACCTAATTTGGGTAATGAAATGTCTGCAAGAAAAGAACTCAGAGAGTACCAGGAATTCTTCATTTCACTCCTGAGCTACTAATCTTCTCCTTTATCTTCTAGGTGGGTTTGTACAAGTTGTTATGTTAGGCTAAAAAGTTGGATAACTTGTGATTGGAATTTTAGCTTTGGCATGTGTAAACTAGCCCGTTCATCCTAAACTATAACTGATTTGACTGATTTGGGTATCCTATGTTGGATGAGCAGAGTAATGGGGCTTTACTGACTCTGCTTTAAGGTAGTTATGTAGTTAACCCTCCTTAGAGCCAAAGACAAATTACTTGCTTGTTTATAATTGCCAATCTTGCAACTCTTCCTTTCTCAGGTTTATCGCCATGGTGACCGATCTCCCCTCAGCACCTACCCTACAGATCCCCACAAAGCAGCAGCCTGGCCACATGGTTTCCAGCAGCTGAGTGAGGTACATTCAGGGGCGAATTTTAATTATTGTTATGGCAGCCTGTGCCAGAATGCAGAAGAAGGGGCAAAAATGACAATCCTCGCTTGGTGCCAGCTGAAGCCTGTCCTACATAACATCTGCCTGCCCCAGGTCTTTGACTCGATAAGTGGATAAAAATGCTGAATGCAGTCTAAATATTTGGCAACTTTTCGACCCACCATAATAATACTAGTAGTAGTTTCCTGGAAGTAACCTTATAAAGTATCCTGTTGCCAGCAATTGCCTGTGCAGGAACTAGATAAACATTCTTGAAGGCAGCTATAAATCTTACGACAATGCAGGAATGCATAAGCTAAGGAATAACAAACAAATGCTTCAGAAGCTTAAATTCCTCGCAGACAAATCCAAGAAGCAGAGTAATGCCAGGTCTTGTATCACACCAGAGGTCAGCCAAGAAATCAAGTTTGCGCATATTCAGGCTGTTATTCGGTTTATATCTTACTCTGCAGCCCCAAAGCAAGCCTATTTCGGAGGGTAATATTTTAATATTTGCTTTTTCCTTGTTTAGGTGGGCATTTTGCAACAGAAGGCTCTGGGGAAATTCCTCCGGGAGAGATATGCTGGATTTTTGAGCCCTTCCTACAAACCACAAGAAGTAATCTTTTTTTAATAACACATTGGTCAACATAATTCAGTTCCTTTGAATTCCCGAGGCAGCAAACAAACTGGATGAAACTATAAACAGGGGAAGACAAATAATAATTAAAAATAAATAGCAACAACTAGTGAATCCAAGCCCTGACCACAATCTTGCCCAGACTTTTTAGTTTGGGGGTGGGTATCTTTGGCTGAATCTGTGAAAACCAACACTTCTTAATCTAAGACCAACATTTCTCGAAAAGTCATTTTAAAAATAGTGAGGAAACCTCCCAAATGTTTCTCCCTTGCTCAAGTTGCCACAGGTTGTCAATAATGGTATTTGCAGAAAATCCTCTATTAAGGTAAATTTGTAGATTAAGATCAAATTAATGGAATAGAGTAACCAGTATATATGGGTGAGTACATACATATGGGCTGTAAGGGACTGCTTTACCGCTCCTTTTCAAATAAAACCTAAATAGTTTAGCCAGCATTGGTCTCTTTCCTAGTTACATTTATCAATGCAGAATGAAGATTGGCTTATTAATAGTTCTTAACTTGCATTCAGAAATGCTGTACAATTAAGTAATACAGGCAAGGGAAGTTTTAAATGCATGCAACAAACACATAGTGTGGGGTACAGATAATCCTCCACTTATGACTGTAATTGAGCCTGGCAATTATGGTCATAAATCATGGCAGTTGTAAGGCAGGATATCACACAACCAAGGCAATTTTATGACCTTTCAGTACTGCATGCTCAGTTCTGGAAAAAACAATGCTTCTGTGCATGTGTAGCAGCAAAAATCATGATGGTGGTGCCTGTAGAACCAGTTTGGGGGTGTGGCAGGCTGCGATACTACCTATGTGGTAGTGAACTGGTCCGAACCGGTAGGAACCCACTTCTCCACATGGCCACAGAACACTGCAAACTGACAAAAATGGTTGCCAACACCCAAAATGCAGTCACATGACTAAAGAGGGGGAAAGGACTGTCCATCCATATTTTGGAATATGCCTTGTAAATAGATTTTGGTGGGTCTGTTCTAATTTTGAACAGTCTCTTAGTGACCAATGATAAGTCCAGGGCTGCCTATAGTGGTTAAGGAGTCAGACTAACATGGGAAAACTCCCTTTGTAGTTCACTCCATTCAGACCAGGGGTTGGTTGCTGCCGATTTTAGTATTGGTTTGCTTTGCGTGTGTTTTGTACATGCTACATACGTTTGAACAGTTCAATGTAAATTGTTCTTTGCACATACACAGAACAATTTACAGTGAAGTGCGCACACACAGTCACCACAAAACAATATGGCGGCGAGATCAGCAGCAGTGAGGATACCGATTTGGGGGCGTGGCAAGCCTGGGGCGCTACCGGTTCTGCAACCTAGGCAAAGGTCAGCCGAACCAGGCCAAATCGGGAGCAACCCATCTCTGGTTCAGACATGGAAGATAAGTGGGCAATCTGGGGCCAGACACTCTCGGTCAGCTCAACCAATTTCACAGCGTTATTGAAGGAAGAAATAGGAGGGAGCACTAGTGATGTATGCTGCCTTGAGGTACTGTACCAAAGAATTTAACTAATAACATATTTGAATATTGCTAATATCCTACAGCGACTACAGTTATAATAAGCCAGCAATAGTCATTTCTTAAATTAAGGCACACATACAGGTAGTCCTTGACTTATAATCATTCATTTAACAAGCTATTCAAAGTTACAACATGGCTGGAAAAATGGATTTATGAAAAAAACTCTTGCATTTGCAATTGTCCCTGTGTCCCTGTGGTTACGTGATCAAAATTTGGGTGCTTGTCATCCAGTATATATTTTTGAAAGTTGTAGCATCCCGGGGTTATACGTTTACCATCGTGATCTTCCCAGGGGACTTCCCAAAAATGAAATCAATGAGGAAAACCATATTCATGTGATTTACTTAACAGCCACAGCAAAAAAAGGTCGTAAAAATCTGGCATAACTCAAGTGAGCCTTCATCACTTAGCCACAAAGTTTTCAGTCCCAATTGTGGTTATAAATTGAAGGCAAGCTTGGTCCTACCATCCCCGCTAGTTCTGTGGAGGAAGAAATTGTGTCCCCCAAGAAAGGCTACACTAATATGTAAAATGTCAATGGTTTGGTCACCTTGTGGCCAATAGAGGTAACTCACTGCATGGTTATCCACTGTTTCAGATCTACGTCCGCAGCACCGATTATGATCGCACCATCATGAGTGCCCAAGCCAACCTGATGGGACTCTATCCAAATTCACATCCAGAGATTCCTTGGAAACCTGTTCCCATCCACACTGTGCCTACTAAGTATGACAAAGTAAGTGAACACAAGCCGTATGTGGTCCATTAAATGTTTTTCCTCCCTGTTTATATGGCTGCTCATGACACATTGTAAGGAACAGTTCAGTGAAATGACATGTGGAGCAGTAGAACATTAATTTGCAACAACAAAAAGTATAAATATGTAACTTCATAAATTTGTGGTATGATTGTTTAAAAAATAATTATAATATGGATTACAAGATATGTATCCAAAACTTGGTGAATGGGTAACAGCTTTGAGTACCATTTGCTAACTGAAAGGTTCCCTAGAAATAAAATACTCAATTTATGAGTATAGTTCTGGGATGGGTACTAACCTCTTCTATAGAAGAGGTTCCACAAATCTACAGTGCCATTTATAACCGGTTCCAGCTCCCTCCCCCCGCCCGTCCGCTCATCATCAAGATGAAGAGCGAGAGGAGGAATTCTGGGAGTTGAAGTCCACAAGTCTTAAAGCTGTCAAGTTTGAACACCACTGGGGATTTTTTCTAAAGGTTTAGGGGTGCAAGGGTCTTGTAACATGACAGTTTTAAGACTTGCACACTTCAATGCCAGAGTTCCTGAGCCAACATGACTGGAGGAGGAATTCTGGGATTGAAGTTCACAAGTCTTAAAGCTGTCAAGTTTGAACACCTCTGAGGTTTTTTTTTCTAAAGGGTTAGGGGTGCAAGGGTTTTGTAACTTGACAGCTTTAAGGCTTGCATGCTTCAAATGCCAGAGTTCCTGAGCCAACATTTTGGTTGCTAAGCAAGAGCGTTGTTAAGTGAGTTTCACCACATTTTACAAGTTGGCCACGCCCACCCAGTCTCAGGGCCAGCTGAGCCATTCCCACAAAGCAGGCCA